ACAGCCACAGTGTCAACTAACGGTCCAAATTGAATTTGGGTTCAATCCAATGGTCATGACCTCATTTCGTATTTTAATTTTATTTTTTTATATAAATCCAAATATATTAAAATTTTGAGCGTCGATTCTAAAAAAAATTATAATTTAATAAAAATATAAAAAAATATTTTGAAAAACATAAATTGACAAAAATGCCCTTGAAATGTTTTGGAGGTATTTTGGTTAATATATATTTTATGATTTTTTTATATATATATTTTTATTAGGTGCGCCTTGATGATTATAATATACACTTAAAATTTCAAGTGATTTCGATTTATAAAAAATAAAAATAAAAATTCAAATATGAAATAAGGTCGTGAGCGTCAGATCAGCCTAGATTCAATCTTGGCTATTGGTTGATACTGTAGCAGTCAGCCTGTGCGTTGACAACATCTAAATGAGTTGTGAATGGTAGATTTACTAACTGTGTGGTTTATTTTTTTTAAAACGTCATTTTTTGTAATATTCTACTCATCAAGTAAAGATGTTTTTATAAATATCATTAAAAAGACAATGAGTACTTTTGTCATCTTAATAAGGGGTAAAGTTGAAATTTTTACTAAAAAATAAAAATATTTTACAAATAGAATTTTAAGACAGTAATTTTTTAAAAAAATAACATAAAATGTGAGGATTTACCTTTAATACAAGGTGGTTACATAAATATTGACCATTGGATATAAAATTGGATGGATGCAATTATTCTATTGACCAAACTCAAATTTCAAACAAAATTTTTTTGAATTTTGTAACACATCCAAGCTATCAAATTTACACACCAGCCTCGGCTCTATACAAATCGACCTCCTAATTTTAACCGTGTATTGTTTAACTTACCTCGTGCCACATATGAACCACGTTGCTTGTGCCGTCCCGTGGGCCAGAGGGCTCACAAACTTATTTCCCCTTATTTTTTCAAAACTCATAATTCAGTATCTCGATAAGAGATTCACTAATGAGGCAATGCGATCGAGAATTGATCGATCGATAGATAGAGAGAGAGGGAGAAACCGCGTGTGCCTTGTTGAAGATTATAGAGAGAGAGAGAGGAGAGAGACACTGTTCGAAACCAGTTGGTGCCTTTGCCCTAAAATACTGAAGGGAGTTATTGACAATCTGTCGTTCTCCACCCTAAATTCGGCCATGTTTGGCCCTCCTAGGCATCACTCAGAAAGACTGGTAAGCCTCCTCTTTTTTTTTTTTTTCATCCATTGATTAATGCAGTAGTTTCCATTAGTTTCTTTTCTTGTTAATCTAGGGTTTTCTTGATCAATAATGCTTTGTTTTCGGTTAATTCCCTTTCCTTGATTCTCGAGGGTTCTGCTCTTACATAATCGGATCAACAAAATTGGGTTTTTTATGTGCTCTGTGCATAAGCAGGTGGTTACTTCATTAAAGTGGCGCTGAGTTTCTTTTATTAATGGGTTGTGGAATTTTTTTGGTCTACTGTAACTTAGTTGGCTATCTGTAAAAAGCAACAGAAAAAGAATTGTCCCTTTCATTGATTTTTGGTTTCTTTGATGCACTGTATTTCCATTGAAGAGAAGCAAAATCAAGGTTCAGAACTGCAAAAAAATGGTCTCACATTGCAAATACTAGCTAAGAGCACGTGCATTACAGATGCTTTCCAGGTGATTAGATGAAAAAAAGCTTTTAGAATATTTAAATTAACTGAAAATTTATTTATTATTTATTTCATTTTAAATCATTGCATTTATTTTCCTAGATGTCTAATTTTTTATCTTTTCGGAGTTTTATTTAGTTTTGTTTTTTTCAGAAGCTGAATTCTCTTAGAAGATTCCTATTTTAGGTGAGAACAATTTGCATATAAAATCCCTTTGTAAATTGTTCATTGAGTATTCTTTTTACACGCTTTTTTTTTTTGACAATATTTTTTTTTTGTAAAGCAGGATTGGGATAAAACATAAGAGAGATTTTTAACGAGAGATTGATGTGAACTTTTATGGGAACTTTATCATTACATTTGGGTCACAAATCAATGATATTTTTTAAGTAAAGAGATTATATGGATGATGATGATGATGATGATGATGAGAGAGAGAGAGAGAGAGAGAGAGAGAGAGAGAGAGAGAGACGAGAGAGAGAGAGAAGAGAGAGAAGTGAAGTAGTAGTAGTAGTAGGTAGACGGTTAGGACGTACGGTAACGGTAGGTAACGGTACGGAACGTAGGTACGAGTACGAGCG